TGCCCACACCCCCCCTCCCAGCTTCCACAGCACGGCATCTGTACCTCCGGGGCGGCGCTGGGGTCGGCTCCATGACCAAGATCTACGGGGGACGTCAGAGAAACGGGGTCATGCCCAGCCACTTCAGTAGAGGCTCCAAGAGCGTGGCCCGCAGGGTCCTCCAAGCCCTAGAGGGGCTGAAAATGGTGGAAAAGGACCAAGATGGGTAAGCAGGGGCAGGGGGATGGCTGGGAACGGGTGGTGAGGAGACTTGGGGTCAGATCACCTGTAATGAAGTTGTTTAGAGCCATCCTTCCCCCACGTGGAGAGGTGCCAGGTCTGTCCTGTACGGTCTGCAGCTGCCCCTCAGGCAGGCAGGGGATTCTGCAGAAAAGCGAACAGTGAGGGGCCTCACCCCGACCTCTCTGGCTGACTACCCCGAGCTCCAGGAAGGTAATTTAGCGACTGTCCGCTTTCATTAGCCTGCTCGTTAACTTTTCCCAATTGATTTTTCAGGGCTTTTGATCTAATGCTTGCACAAACGACACCCCGGCAGCTCCCAGGGGGGCTCCCACTCCTGCCCCCAGCTCGTTAAAATGCAGCCGACCGGGGCCCTCAGTGGGACTTGGCTGGTGTCATGTGGTCCCATGGCCAGGTGCCTTCTTGGGAAGCCTAGCTCACATCCAGGAGGGGCCTCGCAGCGACAGGGCTGAGAGCCTGCACTCATGGGGGGCTGCTTGACTGTTCTCCCACAGGGGCCGCAAACTGACACCTCAGGGACAGAGAGATCTGGACAGAATCGCTGGACAGGTGAGGCCTGGGTGTGTGCCAGGGCTGGGTCCCTTAGTCACTGCCCAGGGAATTTTCAGAGCCTGGGCTTTGTTAGATCAGAGTTTCCTCCCCCCCCGGAGGTCACAGCCCAGCCTGGTGGGGGTCAGAGGAGGGCTGGTTTTGGGGGGGGGGTGCAGGAGAAAGAACATTTCTGACTGACTTCCTGTTAGAGCTGGTTGGAAATGCGGGTGCTAGAGTGCAGCTGGGCTTGTTTCTCATGCAGGACATGTTCCTGGACATACAACTCCCTCTTCCCGGGTCAGCCTTCTTAGGATTCTGGCTGCACTGTTTCCTCCTATTCTTCATGCTTGCTGAGCACCAGATGGGACGGCTGTGGAGAGGGGGAGGCAAGCCAGCTGAGAACTCAGGTCTCCATCCAGATGACTGACTGGCTGGACACCTTGGGGCAGAGTCCGTTTGCCTGGAGCCAGTCTCCCCGTCTGTGGAGCAGTCTCCTATTGCCAGCCTCAGAGGGTGGTAGTGAGGGCTCAGTGAGCTACAGCGGCAGGAGCCCCCAGGGCCAGGCGTGAACCCATTGTTTGTTTTCTTTATGTATCATTGACTCAGGTCTCCTAGGAGCTTTGGAGAGGGCTTAGTCACTTAGTCCAGGAGCAGAAGAGAATAGAAGGTGTCAGCCCCCTGGGCATCCAGGCGCAGCCTGGAAGGAGCTGTTGAACTCTTCCAGGGCAGGGCCGAGCCTGGCATGGACATCCGTGTGGGTGACAGGGCAGTGGCGTTGCAATCCCACTTCCTGTCTTCGAGTCCCAGTTGACGTTTCTGTAAAAGGACGTGCCTGAGGTTGTAGGGATCAGATCAGATGAATGCATGTCAGGCCACAAATCCAGTTGGCTGGTGTCCCTCGGGTAGTGGGTAGCTGCTTCAGACCCCATGGCCCATCCTGATTACCTCCCCATCTTTTCCCGCAGGTGGCAGCTGCCAACAAGAAGCATTAGAGCCACTGCTGGGTCAATAAATTGCCTCGTTCGTAATCCTGGTCTGGGTCTCTGACTGGCTCTCGCCTTCCGTTGGGGGGCAGGAGGAAGGAGCACTGCATGGCACTTCTTCCCTCATGAAGGGGGGGGCTGTGGCACCAACACCCACTAGAGCCTGAGGCCCAGCCTTCCCAACTGAAGCCCTTCTACCCCTAGTGGGCCCTGTGCCCCAACTAGGCTGGTGGTTGGGTGGGGCCGGGACCTGGAGGCGCTCGCCCCTCCCCCCACATCCTGCCTTTGCAGTTCTCAGTAAGAGGAGAAACCGAGAAAAGGGTGGCTGTTGAAGCGGTGGCCCCCGTTGGGGCCTGTGCTGCAGAGGTTGCACTCTGTCCCCTGCTGGAACAAAAGCAGGAGGGGCAGGTGGCTTCTTCCCTAAAAGGAGGTAGACTTGGGACAGCCACCTTTCACTCCTGGTGGCTCCTGGAGTGTCCCTGGTATGCACCTTTTGGAGCTAGTTGTCCCTGGCCAGAGTTGGGATGGGGTGCCACTTCCCACACCCAGCACTGCCCGAAGAGAGGGTTGTGTGAGGCTTCTGCACAGAGATTGAGCTGGGTCAGGTGGCACGACCTCTGCGGTCCTGCATGGCAGTTGGCTCTCGGTGCAAATGGGGTGGGAGCTCTGAAGGGCACCAAGTGGGCATGTGCCAGGCCCCAGAAAGCTGAGCCTGGAGAATTGGCCCCATGTGACCAAACCCACCTCCTCCTTGGGGAACACTACGAAGCAGAGCCTGAGCTGGCTCGGCCAAGGTCTCCAAATTTCCCCCAGCCCGTTATTGGACCCATTTACTTCCAGTGCGAAGCCTGGGCTTTGAACTCAAGTGACTCGTGTTCAATAACTTTCCAGCTCTGACCCTAATTCTATGCAATCCTGAGCCACGTACTCCCCCTCTGAGCCCTCCGCTCCTTGTCTGTATCACTCCTGAGAGATCTGCAGAGTTACCGTATAGATAGTGCGTTGGCTCAGAGCAGTGCACCAAGCACACGACCAGTTACTTGGTGTTCAGGATGGAAAAAATCAAGAGTCCCACATCCGGTGGGGAATGAAGAGGCCTGAACGTTACTTGCCTGGGCATGGCCTTGGGCCAGTCACTCCCTCCCTGTTCTGGGCTCCAGTTCCCTTTTTTGTCAACTGAGGAAGAAGACCTCTTGGAGTAGACATGCGAACACAAGGCAGCAAGGCCCAGGACCTGGTTGGCAGACGGCTAAGTGGCCGGTGCAGGTCAGTCTGGCCTGAGGGCCTGCAATCCAGCCGCTGTGCCTCTGCGGCCACTGGGGGGCAGTCGAGGGCCTGGAAACTGCCTCAGCAGATGGAGGGGAATTCCCAGGGCTGCAGTATCTGAGCCCGGGGTTTCTTCCTAGGTGGGGGGGTCATGAGGAGGAACTAGAGCACGGAGGGGCTGGTGACCTGCTATAAAGCAAGGGTCGCAACAGAACACCTGGGTCCCCGGAGGGAAGGGAACGGGGGAGGGCCCCCAGGCCAGAGAAGGGGAACTATGTCCTTGCAGCCTCACGAGGGGGACAAGGGTGGTGGAGGGCCCAGACAACCAGTAGGCTGACAAGAGTTGCGATTCAAAGACAGGAATCACGAACTCTTGAGGCCCATGCTCCTCTGTGTGGGTGACAGTTGCATTTTGTTTTTTTAATTATGAAATGATTCAAGCATGCAAAACAGCATACCTATTAGTGTAAGAAAGACCCGTGGACCCACTACCCAGCTTAAGAAGTAAAACAAGACCTAAAGCCAAGACAGGAAACGCCCTCCTCCCTTCCCCCAGAGGGAACCCCTCTCGGGAATTGGGTGTCACTCACCTGCATGGGTTCACACCTCCACTACAGAGGCACGTGTCCCTAACGGCACCCAATGTTTCGCCTTTTGAAAACAAGTCAGTTGTTGCACGCTGCATGTGTTGTGTCATTTTCATGTCATTTCTGAGACGCAGCTGGGTTGACGAGTAGAGCTCCGTCTTTTCACCTGCTGAGTACTTTACTGGCTGCCTATGTCACCCCGTGTGCATCCTGTTCTCCCGTACATGGACTTTTTGTTTCCGCTTTTGCTACCAAAAATCTCCCTGCGGTAAATTTTTTTCCCGTGTGTCTCCTTGTGTGCACATGTGATGATCCCCTAACTGCTCACAAACATCTCAACAGTGTCCTGTGATTCCCCACCCCCACTCCTCAGACTCCGTTTACTTCCACGTGACCTAAAATGCTGCCCAACAGCAGGTGGGCACACAAGTGACTCAATCTCTGCTCCACCACTGCCAAGCTGTGTTACACCTGGCAAGTGATGGCATCTCTCTGGGCCTGTTTTCTCTCTAAAATGGGGGGTGGCCTACCTTGCCCACTTGTGGGGAGGCTGACTCACGTCAAGAGCCCGTTGTTGCTCTAACTCCTCGGGTGCTGGGAACAGCATCTCATGTCACAACACTGGGGAGATATTCTTATGCTCATCTCTCATGAAAAATGCCAAGGCTGGGGGTGCCCAGCTGGCCAAGTCAGTAGAGCATGTGACTCTTGACCTTGGCATTGTGAGTTTGAGCCCCACATTGAAAGCAGAGATTACAATTAAAAAGAGAAATTTTTTTTTTTTTTTAATGCCAAGGCTCAGAACAGGAAGCCACCACCTAGTCATAGAGCTGGTCGACCTGCCCCATTTATTTGTCCTGAGCATTAATAGGAGCCACGTTTTACTGAGCACCTACTATGGGCTGGGCCGTGTTCAGAACTTTGCATGCCCAACCCCTTTAAATGCTGGATTCCAACGCCAAGAAGTGAGGACATGGAGGCTCAGAGAGGAGATGAGCTTTGCCTAAGGCCAGTGAGGAGTGGAGAGCAGGCTCAGAACCACCACCCTGACAGACCGCCTGCGGGCGCAGGCACCTCGAACTCTGGCTCCCTCGGGCTTCCTTCCCAGGGCCAACCGGTGACGAGCCAGGCCTTGAACTGGTCTCTTTCCCCCACCCAACAGCCTCCCCCCAGGGGAATTGTGGCCACAGGTGCAGGGAGCAGTTTCTCTCCACTCCGGGCCTGAAGCATTACCGGCAGGGGCTGCCCCCGGGGCCCACAGCTGAAGGAGGGCCCAGCAGTGGGGCCATTGGAGCCCATCTCCGGCAGGGCTGGGCAGGAAGTAGGGCGGGGTTAGCCGAGGTGGAATCTGGTACCCCAGGACTGCTGCGACCCAGACTAACCAACCCACTGGGAGAGATGCCTGGGGGTCCCGGAGTCCTCCAAGCGCTGCGTGCCACCATCTTTCTCCTCTTCCTAATCTCTGCTGTTGGCCTGGGTACGTGGCTAACAGGCTGGTGCTGGGGGTGGGGGGGGTGGGGCAGGGAGGACTGAGGAGGCTGGAGAGAGGGCAGAGGCAGAGAGGCACTGCCCAGGGGGTGAGGAGCCAGCAGGTGTGTGGGGGGCGGGCAGTGCTGGGAAAGCCCTTGAAGAAACAGCATCCACCTGCTTGACCGTCCCAAGCAGGCCACAGGTCTGAGGGGAGGCCAGAGGGGGCTCAGCAAAGTTGAAGGGGCGTCTATAGCCACATGGAAGGAGACAGGGGCAACAGACGACTTCCTCACCCCCCTCAACCCCACAGGTCAAAATAAGGAACTAAGGTTGCCCTTGACTGAGCTCCAGAGCTGGGGGCAGGAAGGGGACTTGGGGGGCGGCGCTCAGCTTCAGAGAGAAGAAACAGCTTTCTCCTCTGCCTTGAATCTCAGTCACCCCACTGCGTTGGGAGCACCTTTTCAGTGCTGGGGAAGGGGGCACCTCATCAACACTGCCCTCCAGGCTGCCCCACCCCCACCCCAAGCAATACCAGCTGGTGGGGCTGTGACCCTGAGGTTGCTGCCTCTTTCCCCACCTCTTCCTCACCTCCCACCTCCTCCCTCCAGAAGAGGCCAAGCCAGCCCTGTGGGTTGGCCTGGGGGGCTGGAAGGTGGGGTTTCCCCAGCAGCCAACCCACTTTGCCGAGGCCCTCCCCTAACCCGCAGTGCAGCCGCCAACTGAACTCACTCCTGACCCCCGGGTTGACACAAACAGAGAATGAGGGGTGGGCCTGAGGTCACAGGGCAAGGCAAAGCCCCAAGGCTGGCTGAAACGCCAGCCACTCTTGCTGCCCTGGTGTGCCAGGCAACCAGTCTGCCCTCCCTGGGCCTCAGCTGTCCCACCTATAAAATGGGACAATGAGAGAACCTACCTCTTAGGCTTTTGTGAAGATTACACCAGCTAAGGTACCAGGTGCCAGGCAGGGCTCAGGGTGGGAAGGTGAGCCTGGAAGGCCTTCAGGAGGAGGTGATGTCCAAACTGATTCTGGACGGCGCTCCCTGGACAGAACCCTCCTACCATTAGGAAGCCAAATATCCAAACACCCATGAGTTCAGTGGGGCCAAAGCACAGGGCGCAGGTGGGGCGGGTGGCGAGAGGTGGCGCTGGAGAGGTGCGTGGGGGACTCGCAGGGGTGTGTCCCCACGCCAGGGTGTCTTACCCTCCTCCCCCAGGAGTGTCCTCAACCCCCTCCCCCACCCTCACGCACCCCAGGTTGGCTGCTGCGGGCGGGGGGGCAGGGCTGGGGCCTGTGTCCCCACCCGCCGTCCCCAACTCCTCCGCCTCTCCGCAGGCCCCGGCTGCCAGGCCCTGTGGGTGGACAGGGACCCGCCCTCGGTGACCGTGAGCCTGGGCGAAACGGTCCGCCTGCAGTGCCTGCACAACCGCATCAGGCCCAACACCACCTTCAACGTCACCTGGTGGCGCGTCATCCAAGGCAACGCCACCTGGCCCGACATATTCTGGAGTAATAGCCAAGAGCCCTACGGTGAGCTGACCATCCACACAGTGAACAAGAACCACACAGGCATGTTCAGGTGCCAGGTGGAGGAGAAAGACCCCATCACCCAAAGAGTCCTCAGCTTCCAGCAGTCCTGCGGCACCTATCTCCGCGTGCGCGGTGAGTGCTGGCCCCGGGCACCCAGGGCACCCATCGTGGGCATCCTCGCTCCCGGCTCATGCACACTGCGGGGGCGGGGGGGGGCAGCTTCAAGGGGTCTGGGCCTTGCCGGGGGCAGGGCTGGGAAGCCAGGAGGGCAGGAGGCACCTGTGCTCTGAGCGGCACCCCCTCCTCACAGAGCGGCTCCCCAGACCCTTCCTGGACATGGGAGAGGCCACCAAGAACAACATCATCACAGCCGAGGGCATCATCCTGCTCTTCTGCGCCGTGGTGCCTGGGACCCTGCTGCTGTTCAGGGTGAGCCCCCGGGGACCTGGGCCCTCCGAGGCTGAGGTCCCCTCCTAAGATGGGAGAGTGACAGCACCCTCACAGGGCTGAGAGGCACATGAATTCATACCATGACAGGATTTTAAAAGGTGCGTGGCCCAGAAGAGCATCCCTGCTCAGTCTCCCCTCAGGATTGTCCTCCCTCCTCCCACCCCCCAGCTATCCCTCAGTCTCCCCCCGCCCCAGCCATGGTGTCTCACTCTAACCCCCTCCAACCGGGAGTGCAGCGGCCCTCCAGATGTAGCCAGGGCAGATGGGGGCTGGCTGTCCTCCCAGAGCTTCTGACCTGCACCAGCCCCGCCTTAGGCCGTGGGACTGCCACTGCCATTTCTGTGAGAACTGTTTATTCGTGCGAGGGCAATAAGCCAGGGACCCAGAGTCACCTGCCACTCACCTGCGGTGTGGCTTTGGGTGCGTCCCTTACCCCCTCCGGTAAAGCACCTCTCCGGCATCCAGGAGGTTTGTTCGGAAAACATATTCTCCCCCCACATCCCCTCACTGAGGCTCCCAATCCCCCCCTCCTCCCAGAAACGATGGCAGAACATGAAGTTTGGTGTGGACACCCAGGATGACTATGAAGATGAAAACCTTTATGAGGTGAGTGGTGGGTGGGGACAGGTGAGGGGCAGGTGCATTGGGGTTCTCGTGGGGGTCCTCCCTGGGGTCGTCTGGGGGCAGGGGTCTGGGCGTCAGGGCGCTGAGGCCCCCCCACCACCATGTGTTCACCCCAGGGCCTGAACCTGGATGACTGCTCCATGTACGAGGACATCTCCCGAGGCCTCCAGGGCACCTACCAGGATGTGGGCAGCCTCCACATCGGAGATGGGGACGTCCAGCTGGAGAAGCCGTGACCCTGTGGGCTGCTGCCGGGCAGATGTGCTGCCAGCTCTGGTGTCCCCCCACCCCTTCCTGTTCTCTTTTCATAATCTCCCCCCCCCCGCCGAGTATCCTGACTCAACTTCCCCCTTGACTGTGTCCGCTCTTCTTCCCTCCAGACTGTCCTCATCCCCTGCACACACCCCAATTCAGCCCTCCTCCTGCTGCTTTTCCCAGCCTCCCCCCACACCCAGCGGGTAATGAGCCCTTAATCGCTGCCTCTAGGGGAGCTGATTGTAGAGCCTCCTTTGTGTCACCTCCCCCTCCCTGCTCTGTCATGGCCACTTAGTGATAATAAATCCTTCCCAACTGCAGACCTTGGCAGGAGTCATGGATCTCATGGGGATGCTCCCCTTCTCTGGTGGGACCCAGGTGTCCAGGCCCCAGCCTCCTTCTCTTCCAGACCCAGGATACTGCTCCCACCCACCCCCCACCAACCCCTGCCCACTCCCTACGCCTGGAGCCAGGTAGCCAGAGAGAAATAGGAAGTGTTTGGGGAAGCACCTCACCCTAGGCTATGTCCCTGAGCAGAGAGGGGACACAGAAAGGAGCCAGGTGACCCTATTTATTTATGCATATTTCAGTCCCACAAACACAGGCGCCTGTCTGGTGGGGCTGGTACCCAATTCTGACTACAGCCAGGCCACACCTATTATTCTCTGGGAATGGATTTGCAGCAGGGGCATCTGGAGAGTCTGTGGCTCTCATCTGGGGATGCAGGGGGAGCCCTGGGGGACACAGGCACGCAGGGTTTCTGGGAGAGGAGAGAGAGACTGAGACACAGAGAGATAGTAATGGAGACACAGAGCAAGTGAAGAGAAAGACAATGACAGAGATACGGGGACAGAGAGAAAGCAGGAGAGAGAGAAAGGAAAGAAGGGTCCATAGAAAAATGGACACGGAGAGGCTGACCCCTGGGACTCTAGAGAAAGCAATGGTTGGGGAAATGATCGAGGTGGCCATGCAGAAAGATACAGAGACCCGGAGAGGGGAAGACAAGAGATGCGACAGAAGGGAGGGACAGCGCGGAGAAGCAGGGGCCCGGGAGCGGGAGGAAAGGAAAAGACCCCCCACGGAGAAAGGAGCGACGACAGAGGGGCAGACAGAGAGGGACGCGGACAGAAACACGCACAGCGAGGCAAAGAAAGAGAGGAAGACCAAGAGACCCAGACGGAAAGCAGGGGAGGCTGTGGCGAGCCGGCCCCCACCCAGCCGGGGAGGCGATGGCGGACACCCGGCAGAGGCGAGAAACGTGGAGCCCGCTGTCCGCTGACAGACGGACAAAGCCGGGAGGAGCCGGGCGGGGCCGGGGCGGGGCCGGGGCCGCGGGTCCCCCGCCAAGTAGAGAAAGGAGGGGCCGGGCGGGCGGCGAGAAGGGGAACCGGGCGCGGGGCGCGGGCAGGAAGCGGGGAGGGGCGGCGGGGCGGGGGCCTCCGGAAAAACGCCCCAACTTCCTGCCCCGCCAGAGCCAGGAAGCGGGAGCCGGGACGCAGGGCCCGGGATCGCCGAGCCCGACCTCGGGCGCCCCGCCGGTCACCTCCCCGCGCGGACTCCAGGTACACTGTCCCTGGCCCCGCCCGGCCTCCCGCCCCTCGGCTGCCAGGGGAAGTGAGGAGGAGAAGGGAGAGGGCGGGGGCGCTGCCGGCGGTGCAGGGGCCTCAGAGCCAGTGGACGCCCCTCCCCGGGCCTCAGTTTTCCCATCTGTCAAAGGGGGCAAAGAGAGGAGAACTAATATCTGCCGAGTGCCCAGTAAGTGGGGATGAGGGGTGCGAGGCCGGGGTCAAGGCCTCCCAACTGTACAGCGGAGGACGGATGATCACTCCCATTGTACGGGTGGGGAAACTGAGGCTCAGGGAGCGGAACCGACTCGTCCCAGGGGACACACACCGTGAGACCGAGTGGAGTTGGGATTTGAACTTGCAGGTGCTTTCAAGCACCGTCCTTCAACCCCACATGCTTTAGGGCCACCGAAAAAGAAAAACGTCAATAACCACGCCGTAGGCCGCCGTGAAGCTGGAAGTTGCAGAGCGCGCTTGAAAGCATTTTTTGGAAAGCTCTTTTTCTGGGCCATTAATTATACCCTGAGAGATGGGTTGTAGGGGACAGAACTGGAGATCTTCCCCCATTGTACAGGTGGGAAGACTGAGGCTCGGAAAGAAATAATTACTTTTTCCAGGTTACACGGCTTGTCAGCGGGAAAGGTACGCTGGAACCCAGAAGTTTTGCTTTACAGTCCCAGCACAAAGTGTGCGGCCGGGGCGGTGGGGGTGCCGGGAAAATTAGTGTACGCCTTGGAAATTCAGCTGTTTCCGGAGTTAGGAAAGCAAGATAGGGTGGGGAACCCAGACCGGAGACTAAGGGCCAGGGGCGAGTCGGAGATGTCGGATTGAGCCCTGGGCTGGGGGGCTGGAACCACTCTCTAATGGGGCTGGGGGGCGGGGGCGGGGGGCGGGGCACAGTAGAGTGACAAGGGCAGTCGAGATACGGAAACGCCAGACCTCCAAGGCAGGCCAGAGCGGCCCTTTCTGGCCAGCGTGGCGCAGTGGAGAGCTAGAGTGGCCGGCGGGAGGAGTAGAGTCGCTCGGGCAAGAACCAGGCAGCCGCTAACTAGAGCGGCTGGCGGGAGGAGTGGAGCTGGAAGCAAAGGTAGACGCTGGGGCAGCTAGAGCGACTCGGAGGCGGGGGTGGGGGACCCCGGAGCCGGCGCGCAGAGGCTTCGATTCTGGCGGCTGCGGTGGATTCTCCTACGACCAGGAGCAGGTGAGGGATGCTGCCCCCGGCGGGCGTCAAACCCTGACTCCGCAGGTCTGCCCCATCATTCCTGGCCGTGCGCACCGCCACGTCCCGTGTAGTAGGATTTGGGGCCCGTGTAGACCCGCCACGTCCCACCTAGGATTTGGGGCTGGTGTAAATGCGCCACGTTTCGTATAAATTACAAGGGCCTATAGACCCACCAGCCTCCTGCTAGCCCCCCCGTCACGGAAACTCGGCTTCTTATAGATGTGGGGTCCCCATCGGTCAGTAGCACCCCTTAGAATCCTGGGCCCTGTGGGTCTTGGGACCACCACATGCTCTTGTAGAATTCTGCTCCCCTTTTAAGTCTCCACAGGTCCCGCAGACTGGCTGCTTTACATACGGAATCATGACCCGGTGTGCTTCTGAGCTCCGAGTAGATCCACCTGTTTGAACTTACCAATAGAATAGAATCTGGAGCCTTATACATTCCAAGGGCCCCTCGTGGACTTACCTTGACTACTCTGTATTTTAAGTTCTTGAAGGCTCCCGGAGGTTCTTGGGCACCAGGGACATCCACTCAGTGTCTTATAGACCCCGAACCTTGCGTAGAATCCAGGCGCCCATGTAGTCCCCGACTGGTGCCTGCTTTGCTCTAGGACCCTCACCTCTCTAAGAACCTAAACCTTCCCTGACCACTGCCACCCCCAGTCCCACGCACACAGTATCCCCTCTGCTGGGCCGGAGGCCTTTTTAGTTGCCTACAGATCCATCTGACAGTTTCAGCGTGTGATTACCCTTTGTGGTACCCCCTCACCGTCTATCTCCTAAGCAGCCAACCCCCCACCTTCCCTTCCAGAATGCTCTCTTGAGCCCTAAGCCTCTGTGGAGCAGCCTGAGCAGCAACCCGCACTCCTGCCCAAGTCACAGTGCCCACATACCCCTGCCTTTCCCAGACACCAACTTTGGTTCAGATTGTAGTTTCCTAAGGTTGGGGTGGGGGTTCGCCATGCTCTGAAGCAGCACATTCTGATAGTTAAATGCATAAACTCTGGAGCCAGACTGCTTGGGTCTGAATCCTGGCTCTGTCTCTTATGAGCTGTGCTTCAGTTTCCTCTTCCGAAAAATGAAGGTAGTTATAAAACTGACCTCCAGGAGTCATTTAGAGGATTAAATGAGTTAATACCTATAAAGCAGTAATGTTATGCCTGCTATATACTTAATAGCGTGTATTAAATGTTAGCTATTGTTTCGTATTTCCGTGATGAGGAATGAAGGAGATAATATGTATCAGGTGCATGATTCGGGGCCTGCCTGGCACTGAGCATTTGCTCACATACCGTGTGTCCTCTCCTTTGCGCTTTTTGGAATCTCCCTGCCTCTGTTGAACCACCCCCCCCCCAAGTGGGGTGAGCATGGACCTTCCATGTGCGCAGTCATGTTTTCCAGCCCAGAAGTTGCAGCTGGTGGCCTGGTGAAGGTTTTCCATCTCGAACGGGAACACTAATCGCATGGGGTGCTTGTGGTTGTGAGCGTTAAGTGAGTTCAGATGTGAAGCCCTTGGAGCAATGCCTAGCACACTGTAAGTGCTAGGTAAGTTTAGCTTTTGTAATAAATAATCACTTTTTTTTTTTTGGCATCGGTTTGCAAGTTTATTTACGTGAAGATTTAACAGTACTCAAATCTTAAATTACCTAAGCTTGAAGTGAGACAGAGACGCTCTATGGAAGAGAATAAAAATGTCGTGTGCTCTGGGGAACCCATGGGATGGCACAGGGGCACTCCAGAAAGCATCATTGTTTCTTGATCATAATCAAAATCATAGCCACCGTTTACTGAGTGCTAGGGAGGAGGCCTGTGGAGGAGGCAAAAGGGTGAGTCTCAGGCGACCAGGGTTATAAATAGCTTTGGGTTGTGGGAGGGGCCCCCCACCCCATCTCCACAGCTCCTTCCCGCCTGACACGAGCTCTCGTGGCATTAGCCAGACTAATTAAAGACACAGAAGATGGTGGTGGGAAGACGCAGGGGGACGCGGAGACTCAGGGAGACAAGATGGGAGAGCCAGCAAGAGATGGGAGAGAGAGAGAGAGAGATGAGGGACAGCACATGACAGAGTGACTCGAGAGGCCTCAGAGAGGTGGCCGCAGAACCAGATGTGGGAAGACAGAGACACTGACGGAGGGGAAGGACAGCGACAGAAGCAGGGTTAGGGCGAGGTGGCTGAGGGGGAGGGGAGGCAGAGCTGGTGGGAAAGTGAGACGGGTCTGAAGGGAGGGAGAGAGGGAAGAAGACCTAAGGCACATTCAAGGGACAGCCAGCCGGAGAGAGCTGGCCGGGGAGGGAAAGCCCCCGGGACGGCCGGATGCAGGGCAAGGAAGGCAGACACATCTTGGGCATGAGCTGGCTGAGGACCTAGCCTTGTTTTCTGGGATTGGAAGAGGGGGAAGACACCAGGTCCCCGAGGGAAAGCAACTTCTGGGTTTAGGGAAGGAGGTTCAGAGTTTTGTTTTCTTATGTGGAGAGAGTTCGGGGGTTGGGGGATTTGCCTTTAGATTTCCTGTCACAGGAAGTGGGGCTGGTGGGTTCAGAGGAAACATCCGGCCCCAAGCCTGTCAGTCTAGGAGAGCCCCCTCACCCCAGGTACCTCCTTTCTACCTTTCCTTTAACCTTCCCAACTCGGCTAGCCTCCAGGCCCTGCCTCCCTAGGACCCAGCCTGCAGCGCCCTCCTCCCTCAGACCCGGGAGTCCAGAACCCCCCCCAGCCCCTCCTCCCTCAGACAAGATGTCCAGACACCCAGCCCCTCCTGCCTCAGACTCAGGGGTCCAGACTCCCAGCTCGTCCTCCCTCAGACCCAGGAGTCCAGACCCCCAGCCCCTCCTCCCTCAGACCTAGGGGTCCAGACCCCCAGCCCCTCATCCCTCAGACCCAGGAGTCCAGACTCCCAGTCCCTCCTCCCTCACACCCAGGAGTCTAGGCCTCCAGCCTCTTCCTCAGACCCAAGACCCAGCCTGCAGCCCCCTCCTCCCTCAGACCCAGGAGTCCAGGCCCTCAGACCAGGGGTCCAGACCCCCAGCCCCTCCTCCCTCAGACCCAGGAGTCCAG